CATTTAGAATCTTAAGTAAACGAATTCCAGAGTGATCATGTTTGGTTACAAGTGGTACCGATGAGCAAATATCCGGTTCTATAACAATATAACATTGGTACGATTGTGAAGAAAATAGGTACTACTAAGAATAAAAACTGGTATACAGTTTAAAACCACATCCTTAAATGAGTACTAGCTAATGAAAAATGGGTACTTTTACACAAAAAATGAGGTACTAATATTAAGAAAACAGGTATCATTAGGAATCAAATCAAAAAAATCCAAAACATCCATTCAAACTACTTAGTCCACAAAGCATCATCCATAATATTCCATTCATCCATCAAACAATCAAACTGAACAGACTACTTGTTCACAACCCACAAACTATCATCCAAAACATCAAAACATCATCACACCATCATCCACTCTGTCCACAATCAGCCATCAATCAAAGTCAAACCATCATACTACACTCCAAAACATCCAATTTAAACAACAAACAACTGCCAAACAACCTGTCAACAATGAGGATTTCTAAGGATGAGTGTTGCCATCCGTGCTCGGTAGGCATCGGCTGAACAAGTATTTTGGGCATCCCAAAATTCTCGAGTATCGACGGCGTAACATTCCATTGCCATGCACATGTGAACTCCACAGTCCTTCATCCCGCTCTGTTGCCTCAGGTATCCTAATGTCCAAGTTCTGTTTGGATTTATGTCACGTTGAAGTTTCAAACTCAGATATCCTGCGAGGAACTTCACCTACCAAAAAAAAAAAAAAATACAACAAAACACATGACTAGTTAATTCGAAAGAACATAAATAATAACTACAAAACAAAGTTTAAAATGTCATTAACACTTACCACACGTTTCCCGGCTCCTCGGTACCTTGGTGTATCCATCGAGTTATGGTACACAAATTTTTCTTCTCCAACCTTGTCAGCCTTGTAGACGACCAAGAAGAAGTGAGAATTGTGCAGCACGGGGAATAACACATACTTCGCACCAAACAAGGAACGGACCATCTCATCGAGTATGGCAACACTACTTTTAGTCAGCTTAGAAGCACACAGAGCGTAATCTTCAGTTTTCCAAGCGGTTCTTGTTTTCATTTTATCCACCGCATTCAACAAATCTTCCTACAAATTAAATATTTCTTAGCAATTTTAGTAAAATTAATAAAGTATAGTAAAAGATAGTACCTGAACATAAGTCGGCACAAAGCGAATACGAGGATGGCGAGCACGCAGGATCTCCATGAAGCAATCAACGAGTTGAGAATTTAACTCGTTTCCGAACAAAAGATCGATCATCAATTTTCCTCGGATTATCACTCTCTCATTGCTCCACACAATTTCGCTACGAAAATTTGCAATTATGATTAGTATAATATAACATAAATGAAACAATTACGAAACTGAAATAATTTCTATTACTTAATGCGATCGGTCGTCAGGAATGATCGGATGACTCCACAATCCTCTTCCTGAATGTCATCATGGCCACAAAAGTCCTCTCTCCCTATAAACCTCATCAAAGAAGACTCATGAGAATGACTCTCGGCACTCTCCTACATAACAAAACAATTAGTTATTTATATGAAAACAACACGAACAATAACATAAATTACAGAAATAAAATTAATAGTTTAATTACCATATCATGAGTCCCGGAAGTCAACTGCAACTTTTTTTTTTCTTTTGTCTCTTCGGAGCGGATGACAGGGGGGGTCATGAAATCGGCCTCCTTTTCCTTTTTTTTCCTCCCTTGCCTCTCCCGTACCCTCTTCACAATGGATGAGGCCTGTTGCTTCTCCTCCTCTGCTGGTCGGTGCGAGCTCTGAGCACCGTGCTCAGAGTTCGGCTCATTCAGCCCTCCCGTCAAACCGGCAGACTCCACCACCAGGTTCACCAATTGGTTCAAGTCAACAAACTCATTTTTTTCATCATCTGGCTTATTTCCATACACCACCACAGCCCATGCTTCCTCCTTTTTTTCATCATCCCCTTTTTCCTCGTTCTCTTTTTCCTCCTCCTCCTCCTCCTCCTCTTTTTTCTCATTTTGTTTTTCCTCTTCCTCCTCCTCTTTTTCCTCTATTTCCTCATTTTCTTTTTCCTCTTCCTCCTCTTTCTCCTTCTGTTCTTCCTCAAAGTCAATCGGGCCAAAACCGCCATCAGCACCCTCATTTTCTTTTTCTTCCTCCTGATCTTTCTCTTTTTCCACCCCCTCATCTTTCTCTTTTTCTTTTTCTTCTTCTTCCTGCTTCTTTTGTGTCCACTCGCTCTTCAACAGTTCAATTTTTTTTTAAGTTGCTCATTCTCCTCACAAACAAATGCAAGTAAACGGGTCTCGACCGTTCCCTGTACATGAAAGAAAAAACAAAAATTAAAGGGAACATAAAATAAAGATACATGTTTAATTGAAAATTTTTTAACGTTGAAACATAAATTGTCGACCAAAATTAAGGAAAACCTGGGACTCCACAAAAGCATGCTCGGCAGACAAAGGCGACACCGAATACACCTGCAAAGCAAATCATAATGATTTAAGAACAATATCGATTAACCAAAAATATAAAAAGAAGAAGAAGGAAAAACATAATACTATAAAACCATACCTTATGCCTCATTATTTTGTGAAGGATTTTTAAACACCCTTCCATTGTAGACGGCAAATTGCTCCCCGTCCATCGAAGCAGACGAGGAATCGCCTCGAGCGTGGACCGTTTGCCCAGAGAAGGCACACGCTCGAAAAACCAAGCCTACACATAAACATTATTTCAAAATTACACAATCTCACAATTAAAATATTATTGTATTAAGACATTGAAACACACATATATATACATACCATCAATCCAACTGCACATCCATCAAAGTATGATCTCTCTCTCGATTCACTATGGCGAACAAGTTCGGCAACCAAGAATTTATGAGTAGCATCGCCCCATGCATACTCACAAATTTGACTCACATTCTCTAGGTAAGGGTAAACAAACCTAGGAATGGAATAACTAGAACAAGGAAACAATATACAACTAAACACAAAAAGAGTGAACATCCTAATGAAGTCGTCTACGCGACCTTCATCCACAACAAATTTTTCTAAATATTCTACAACGTGCTTTCTTTTCAAAAGCTTATTATCAACCCGACCCCAACCATCGAATAGGGCTTTGGACTCTAAATTCAAATCTAAGTCTACACTTAGACCACACTACCGCAGCCCCATTGTCAAACAAAACTCAGCCGGATCGAATTTTAAACACAAACCATTACCTACAACAAAGGCATTCATTTATGCCGTGTATGTGCTTATTAGAGCCTCAGTTCTGCCATGTGAAATGGCTATGTCCGGCATGTTAACAAAAAAATAGAAAGGGCTCTGTTGAAGAGCCTGCTTGTGTTAATCAGACAACACAACAAAAATTCGGTCCATCACATCCTTAAAGTAAGATGGGGCACATCGACTTCTAAAATCAGTGCCCTATCACAAAATATAAAATACAAATAATGCATCTACAGAACAAAATGGAAAACAACAGCACCATGATAGAATACATAACAAAATGAAAAACAGCAGCAACAAAATAGAAAACAGCATCACTGGATCAATTTGTTATGAGAAAGTTGATAACAATGAAAAACACCAATAAAATCCCAACAGCAACAACAAAATCCTAACAGCAACAACATTTAAAACACCAATTCAAACTGAAATTCAAACACCTCAACTCTAATTTCGCAAATAACAACAGCAGCAACATTTAATTTCCGAATTTATCAATAAAATCCCAAATTCGAGCTCTAATTTATGAACCCTAGATGCAAAGAGCCCTAATTTATCAATAAAATCCCATCGAAGCCCTAATAAAAAAAATAAAAAAATAATTATGAACCCTAATTCAAAATAAAAAATTATAAACCCTACATGCAAAGAGCCATAATTTATCACAAAAATCCCAAATTCGAAGTGAATTACCATAAAAAATCCCAATTTTTTGAAAACATCCAATTCGAGAAAAAATAAATCAAAATTTTGTAAAAATCCCCAAATTTTCGAGTTCAATAAAATCCCCAAAAATCAACATTGCTTACGGCTTTGGAAGCTTTGGAAGAGGAAGATGGTTTTTCCGATACCAAGGGCTTCCCAGAGACGGTCGGCTTTTTCGATCGCGGCATTTTGGTCGGAGACGGAGGGCTTCCCGGAGATATGGCGACGGGAGGGGGAATCTTCTTCACCGACGAGCGACGCACCAAGACAGAGAATGAGAGATGATAGGCGATGCACAAGAGAGTGAAAAATTTCACGGCGATTTCACGGCAATTTTTCAGAGAGGGAGAGAGACGGGAATAGGGGAGAGACAGAGATAATGAAGAGAGAGAGTAAGAAATTGTTCAAATGAATTAATCAGTAAAAATAAATCAATAATAATACAAATAGTATTTATATGGGGAGTTGGGAGGAAAGATAAATTAGTATTAGGGAGTTAGGAGGAAGAAATAAAGTGCTGGGGACTGACAAGGAAGATGAAATGTGCATTAGGGATTTATCTGGAAATAACAGTAAATAATGGGAGATTTTGCAAATTTTAAAGGAAAATAAAAAAAAAAACATAAAAGAAAATGGCGGCAGAGAGAAATTAGTCTTAATTTATTTATCCCCATTAGCTTTCCTGACAATTTGCCTTTTGCTTTTCATATTTTAGTTTCAAGCAACAATTGCTGACCTCAGACAAAAGACCAAATTTTTGGATTAGCCAAAACTGATCCCAAAAACAATCCAAAATTTTGATTTCACTTCCCATTAGTCTACCTTTGGGTTACTATCTCTTGGGTACCAAACCCTAGGGAATAGGAAGGTAAGGCTAGATGTAATTGACCTCTTTTAAAATAGGCTCTTCCATAGTTCGTTTATTTTTTTTAGTTTACCTGGTTGCCAACTTCTGCCAAGAAAAGATTTTTTTTTTTTTTTCCTAACTAAAAGTTGAGAATCACATTATCCATGGAATTTTTCAAACATTCCCAAAATTGACTACTTCCAGAAATGAATGCAGTGCCACAGCAGTGTAAAGATTTGCAGGAAGAGAATTCAAGACTCTTGCAAGCCACGCCCAACCTTCTTTGAGTCCATGCAGGTTCTCAAAGCCTCCAACTTCAGTCTGACATATTCAAAACAATTGTGATACTGATAATACTGCTTCAGTGTAAAGCCAACAAAGGCAAAATTCACAAGAGAACTCAGCTAATAATTGAAACCTGCACTAGAGCTCCATAGAGCCTCATGTAACACTCCAATCTCTCCACGAATTTATCAATGCTCTCACAATCTCTTCCTTGTAACCAATAGCTTTGAAGTAAGCATCTTTAGTTTTGAATGATTCCTAAAAGGAGTGAAGAAAGAGGTGGATTTTAATGTGACAAGATATTTAGAACTTAGAATCTAATTATGGAAATATTTTAACAGGTGGAACAGTAATTATCAAAGTTGCATCACTGAAGAATTTTTAACAGGTGGAACAGTAATTCTCAACATGCGCGGAAGAAAAAGTCATGGAAGTAGTGGAGCTTGACCAACCACCTGTGAGTAATTTATGTGCTTTGGGACTGTATAGATACAAACTCTATTCAATTCGGCAATGAGAATGTCCATGGCCAGATGAATCTGTCATTAATAGACAACGAAGATCTTAGTGAGAAGTTGAGTCCTGAAGTTTGAAGGTATACAATGAGTAAACTTCATCCTTCACAGCACTAAATTTGTTCATAGACAGATCCTACAGGGCTCTGCCATGTAATGAAAGATGAACAATTGGCGTAAGTAGTTAAGTACATGCTAATAGTAAACTTTACCATTTATATCACTAAATGTGTTCACAGACAGATCCTACAGGACTCTCAGCCATGTTACGAGAGATAGACAACTGACTTGCAAATGATGGTTTCACACTCGAATGATCATAAGCCAAGGATAAAGTTAAATATCCATACACTGGTTGTAATGCCACGTTTGAATTATAGATTTTTCATTGATTATTTATATTATTATGCATTTATTGGCATTTTAAAAATCTAAGCTCGACAAGTTTTCGGATTAATTAGACGTGAGGGTCTAATTTAATCCTTTGAGATAATTAATTTATTTAGACGTTTTAATCTATTTAAATTATACAGAGAGATTAGCCGAGATATTAGAATTTTTCAGTTTAGCGAGAGCCGATCATTTTAGCCGTTTTCTGTGCCGTCGAATTTATCTTCTCAACTTCTTAGAATTTCCCGAGCTCAATTATTAGACTTATTATCGATCCTTGTTGATTATTTTTTTCTTTAGCCGACCATTTATTATCGACTTCAATTTATTTGATCAAATCTATATATATATAATTACTAGCTAATAACATTTAATAAAACCTATTTAATTTTACCTATGTGGCAATTTAACAATTTTCCCTCCAAAAACTGTTACATTTTGATGTATTTAATCTTTCATTTAATCATTAAATAATTAATACTCATCACTTCAAAATTATAAAAATCATTTTAAACTTTTGATTAATGACAGTTGACCATATAATGTGTTGACCGTATAATGTGATTAGATGTTATTATTGTTGTTACATTTAATTTTTTTTAAATAAAAAATATATTTGAAATTCTTAAATAAATAATAAATAATTCACAAATAAAAGACGTACCAAAATATAATTACATCCAATCAGATAAACGCAATTTAAAAAAAAAAATATTACAACTCTTTTAATTGTAAATTTGGTCTGCAAGAAAATGAAAGAAAAATAGTTAATCATTATATGCATACAGACTCACAATAATTTATTTATATCTGTGCAAATGTACAGGTCGAATACTAGTTCAAATAATTCCCTAGCATTTAGTTTGGCCCATTTGTGAGAAGAGATTTCAGCCCAATAGTTGTAAGTTTTTGGCCCACCAATTTCTTTTACTCTCTCAGCCGACAATAGCAGTGCATACCCTTTTTTTTTCTCCTCCTTCAATTGATATCGCCGCAACCCTGAGAATGAGAAAAACTCCTTTCGGCCTAATCGATCGAAACATCAGATTTCAGAGAAGGGATTTTCTTACGCCTCTCGATCAGAAACCATCGTCCCTTGAACTCGATCCCTCCATCGTCCAATTTCAGAACCAGTCCTGTCGACCTACCTCAGCCGCGATCGCCATCGGAGAAGAGAACTCCGCCCCTCTGTTCGTACGTCCGAGCAGGTCTAGAAAAGCCATCCGCCTTTGCCCCGCCACCAGTTTCCATCGCCGGCGAGCAGCAGGTTCCTCGTCCACTCGCGAGCAGTACCGCCGACGAACCGACGAACAAGACGAGATGAATTCTAGTCGGCGACCTTCACAAGCAGCAACGGCGATCGTCCTTTCTCACCATCGCCGATGAACTTCGAGTAACAGCAACGACCCTCTTTCGGTACGTAAACGTCGAGAAATCCTTGTAATCGAGCCCCTGCTCGAATTTCAGATTCCATCGAACCTCCATCGCGAGTTGCAGCAAGCGACCCGAACATCAGCGGCACCATGTCGGCCCTCGTTCAGCGGCCCAAACAATAGTGGCGTCCCTCGCCGGCCCGTTTGTTTCACAACAGCCCCTCGCCAGATCTTTACACGCAAGCAGCCGTATAGAACCTTTGCTTGCACGATACGACGCCGCCACGACCCTTACCGTCGGGACATTTGTATCTGCCGGCGACGCCTTACGCATTCGAGCACCCTGCCGGCGACGCCTTACGCATTTGAGCACCCCCGTGTGAGTGAAATTCCCCGTCGGCAATCATCGAGCAAACTTGGGCCCACCGAACAACAACTATGCTTCAGTCGGGCGCCAAGCAGGCCCGTTCGAATCTTGCAGCAAACCGCCGTTCGTTATTCGCGTGACAACAGGCCTGTTTTCTTGTTCCTGAGCAGCAGCTGGGAGTTTTGCCAACGAGCAGTGGTCGGGTTCTTTTCTAGTCGAGCCGTTTTGCAGAGAGCTTTATTACCCAGTTGTAGCCGTCCCGTTTTGCCGTTCAGCGGCACCATCCTTGTTGCTGAGCGGCAACCGTATCTCGGTTTCCCTCGTCAAGAAGTAGCAGCAGCCCGGCCGCGAGCTAGTTCGTCACCGAACCAAGAAGCAGGCAGGCCCTTAGCCAAGAGCCGAGAACCGTCCGAGGCCTTTCTTCTTTCGTTTCTTTCTAGCCGTTTGTTTAACCACACAGAAGGTAGAAAGCATAACCCCTTTCTTTTATCTTATCTTAGATTATTTGAAGGTTTGAGTGTTTAAGGTTCACTTGCATGGGATCTTTGATTTTTAGAAGAATTATGAGACTCTTAAGTTGTGTGTTGGATTAGATGGTTGGGCTCTCGTCTTTATTGCTTTCCTATTCGAAAATTTGGGGAAAATCCGTGGCTCTGTTGAGAATAATGCCTCGTAAAAGTTATAGAAATATTGCCTTCAAAGTTGATTGAAAATCATGCTTTTCACCTATGTTTTGGGGACCCCTTTTTATTTCAAAAGTCTAAGGTGAAAGCTGCGAATTTTTGCTTAGTATTATATCCTCTGATATGCCAAGTTTTATACAGGAAGTGTAGATATTTTTAGGAAATTTTCTTAAAAATAATTTCTTTTGGCCGTGAGTTTTTATTTGGGCAAAAAGCTTTGAGATCCGAGGATATTTGTTTGAAATTTTGGAAATTATCTTGGAAAACGAGTTCTTTTCCCCGGGTGTGATAAAGCATGAAGCCGTGGGCTAATTTCCTTGCTGATTTCTTTTCAAAAGATTATCCATAATTTAGGTTTCTTATAAATACTTGAGAAAATTGATAACCCAATGCCTTACAATTATTTTGCGAAAAATAAGGTATTTCTCGTGCCTTCATTGTGGATTATAATATGAATTCATTTTTATAAACCAAAATAACTAATTCTAAACTCGGTAACTAATTAATTGCTTTTGTTGTGGTATGATCAATGTATGCATGTGAACCATGTAGCCTTCGATGTGAGCTATATTGGTCGTCGAACGGTTATCCCCGTAGCTATAGAACGTACCTTCGGGTAGTCTCCTTTATTATTGTTGGCAGTCAGGGCGTGAGCCTTGGCTGGTGATCCTGTATGTAAGGCCAAGGCGCAAATTTTGGCATTCGGGGTGGATTATTGCTCCTGCTGGCCGGACACTCGTTGTAAGGCCTTAGATAAGGCGTTCGGTATATAGTTCGGCAGTAGTCTATTGCTATAGGTGTGCACATGAGACTCATTTTATTAATTAAAGTGTTATTTTCTATTTACAAATTCTTGTTTCAAGAACATCCCATGTGCTATGTGGATCCAGTTTTTATCCATGAAAACTAACGTTCTTATTTGTTCCTACATGTGTCTCCAATTTTGTTTGTGCTACCTTTTGGCCCCTCCACCCTCATTTCAGTTTCAAATAAAATTTCATTACAACTAAGATTTGATAAGACATGAGCAAATGGTAAGATTTTCCCAAATATTTTGCGCCCCATCATCATATATAGGGTTTTAACTTTTTCTCTTATCTAGGAAAAGGACCTCCTATTTTAAGTGCAGCATGCTTAAAAGGGGTTTATATCTGTTTCAATAATGAGGCCATGTGAAATTTTGAATGAGTGTTCTTTTCTGTTTTAGGGTGTGTGGAAATTTTTAGGGCTCTTGCACTATTTGACCCTCTTAGGCATGACAGTGCTGAGACTATCAGAAGGGCGCTGGGCGTAAATGTTAAAATGATAACTGGTACGATTATATGTACCTATTTCGGTTAATTGTTTGGGAGTATAGGAGTTGAACTGAATCTGAAATAAGAGGGAAAAGAAATAACGTGACAAATTTCTACTAGAGAATGTTCATAGCTCGCTTTACTATTCTGTTTTATATGCTGAACGAGTTTCCAAGTAGATAACTACCATTCACCTTGATAGAATAAAACTTCAATTTCTACACCGTTTTATTATTATGTGAACTTTACGGGATGCAATATGCCTTTCATTTTTTTTTTTTTTTTTCATTTTCTGCAAAGGAAATGACTCATGTTGGATCAATATATAGGTGATCAGCTAGCTATTGGAAAAGAAACAGGACGTCAGTCCATTACTGCTATGCTTATTGATGAATTGATCGAGAAGGCCGATGGCTTTGCTGGAGTTTTCCCTGGTATATTATATTATTATATATCATACTCTTCGTTTTGTGTTCCCTTTTTTCCCTTCAGATTTTTTTTAAAATTTTATATTTCTCTTCATCTCAGAGCATAAGTATGAAATCGTTAAGCGTTTGGAAGCTCGTAAACATATATGTGGAATGACTGGTGACGGGGTGAAGGATGCTCCTGCCCTTAAAAAGGCTGATATGCTGATGCTGCTGATGCAGCCAGAAGTGTATCTGATATCATGCTGACTGAACCTGGTCTCAGTGTAGTCGTGTAATTTCTCATCCGCTGAAAGATTGCACGACTAGTTACGACTGTCCTAACTAGTCGTGCAATCTTTCAGCGGATGAGAAATTACACGACTACACTGAGACCAGGTTCGGTCACCACGATATCAGATGCACTTCTGGTTGCATCAGCAGCATCAACAACAACTATTCCAAGGCAGGAGCATCGTTCACCCCGTCATCCCACATATATGTATACGAGCTTGCAAACGCTTAACGATTTCATACTTATGTTCTGAGATGAAGAAAAATATAAATTTTTTAAAAAAATCTGACACAACAGGGGAAAAAGGGAACGCAAAACGAATAGTAGGATATATAATAATATAATATATCACGGAAAACGCCAGCAAAGCCATCATCAGCCTTCTCGATCAATTCATCAATAGGCATAGCAGCAATGAACTCATCTTTGTCCAGTCCCAATAGAGAAGATGATGGATACATGTTCGTTCCCATCCCTAACCGACGTCCTGTTTCTTTTCCAATAGCTAGCTGGTATACATTGATACAGCATGAGCCATTTTCTTTGCAAAAAATGAAAATGAAAAAAAATAAAAAAATGAAAGGCATATTGCATCCCGTAAAATTTATATAATAATAAAACGATGTAGAAATTGAAGCTTTATTCTATCAAGGTGAATGGTAGTTATCTACTTGGAAACTCGTTCAGCATATAAAACACAATAGTAAAGCGAGCTATGAACATTCTCTAGTAGAAATTGGTCACGTTATTTCTTTTCCATTTTTTTTTATAGTTCAATTCCTATACCCCAAACAATTAACCGAAATATGTACATATAATCGTAAAGGTTCAGAGCCCTTCTGATAGTCTCAGCACTGTCATGCCTAGGAGGGTCAAATAGTGTATGTGTGTGTATAACTAAAGAGATCGAGTTGTTAGGTGTTTTACGACAACATTAACATGTAAGTTGCTTGGTTGCATGTAGGTGACAGAAACTTGGCTAAACATTGGATGCGAGAGGGATGATGCCCAATTGGTTATTTTTTTTTTTTTGCATTCAAACTTACGACACAATCTTCCTGAAGCAGAAAGAAGTGATACAGTTCAAGATGATCATCATAGAGCACCACTGGGTTTGGGTATATATTTACCATATGAAATGTGCATGGAAGTTCTGGTATTTCATCTATACTTATATAATAAGAATTAACATTTATCCAAAATAGTAGGTCAAATTATGGTCAATGTCGGATTTGCATTAAATATTTTCCAAAACTGGTAAGTTTTTGTCCTTTTCACACTTCTGTCCTTTTCACACTTTTCATTAATTATGTCATTTTCACACATCTAATTAATTCATTAATTACGACATAATTATCATAAATCGTTCCATCTGAGCTTTTATCGTTAAAATATATAGCGATCTGTTATGACCTTATCCCATTGATATTTCCATGAAGCGTCCTTATCGCGTTCTATTTTTTGGTAACCACTCTATATCAATAACCAGATATTTGGTTAATGATAGCACACGTCTTTATTTCAAGGAGCGGATATTCTTTGACCTTTAATTAATCTGAACTGATTACCTTGACTTTTCAATTTTTAAAAACACTTTTTTTAAATATTTCGACTTAAGATTCGGATTTCATTATACAAGTCATCGGATTGTTTGAATGAAAATGAATGAAAAGAACACAAAAAACAAGTAGCCTTATTCATATAATCAATCTTAAAATATTAGTTTATTCACAAAAAAGAGACAAATCCTAGAAATCCTAAAATATTAGTTTGTTCACCACAAATATTAGTTTGATTTTTAGGATTTGTCTCTTTTGAAAAATATTAGTTTGTGATAATGAGGAGTTACGAAATAATCAAACTCATAATGTTGTGTACAAGGAGGTTTTTAATAATATATGATTGTTACCGAACTTTTTATGATTAAACAATGTTCCTATGTATTTTAATGATTTCAATTTCGATCCTAATATACGTGTGGTTATATTATTCTTCCAAATTTTACATCCCGTGCATCGCACGGGTTACGTACTAGTTTAGTTCTTATGACTAAATAAGGTTTATCATTAGTTATGCGTGCATGGACTCGAGAATGGAGCAGTTTGTTGCATCATTCCACAGGTAAGAAAATGAAAAAGTAAAAAAACAGTGAGTTAGGGCAAGTGATGGGTAGTTCACTGTAAATAGCTTTTGAGTAGTTTAGGTGGTTAGTTTGAGTATTTTATATAGACAATCTTTTTGGAATGCTGAATACTACCTTGTTCTCAAGTATTTCCTCCAATCAATATATAGCTATGTATATATAATTCAATATTGGAGAGAATACAACCTTGTGTTCAGCTAGTTAGATGAGTTAATATAGGATGAAAGGCTGAAAAAATATTTCGATGGTCACTGTGAACCAGTAGTTTTGAGTAATAGTGTGATAATCGAATTGCAATTACAGGCTTACTGTTAGGCGTGTGTCTAATTGTTACAATGCAATGACTAATGGTTTTACACTTTTGTTTAGGCTGCTCAACAGTTAATGGTAACCGCCGATGCATCTGTAGCAGGTTTGTGTCTAAACCAGGTTTGTGTCTAAACCATAAATTGATCAGATGGATAACATGGCCCCACTTTGCTTTGATTAATTTAATCTTACGCCCTACGTCATATGGCGACATTTTTTTCTAAAGGATCCCAAGGACTTGTAGCTGTAGATTGGTGATGGTTCTGTGGAGATTCACTAGATTGACCCTTTGAAGGTAAGTTTTGCAATTTGTTATTTCATAGTGTTCGTCTTTTGGGTGAAATTGGTTTTCGAAGATGAAACATCTAGATAATTATATCATTCTTTTCAGCCAGTACATCAATTTGGTATGAATTAACATGTATTGTTTATAGTAGTGTACTAAATAGAGAGTTGTGTGTATTTTAAAACAATAAAAAATGCAAGGATTTCTTACTGATTTTAGATAATCATATTTGAATGGAATTACTTCGTTGTTATTGTTTTTCCATGTGATGATGAAGCACAATGTCGGAGGGGTGGGTAAAAGGGATGCCACTATTTTGGGGTTAAGTAATGTTTTGCATTTTGTGCAAGGATTAGAACTGCTTGTTGCTTCAATTAAAATAGTTGATTATATTCATACAGACTAACTACTAGATTCTTCAAGGTCTATGATCTACTGATATATATATAATATATATTATTATTATATTAATATATAATAATATATATATAATATTTATATATATATATATTAATTTATATATATTAATTATATATATTAATATATATATATTATATTATTAATATATATTATTATATTATTAATATATATATATTATTATATTATTAATACATATATATATATTATTATATTATTAGGGAAAATTACACTTTTTGCCTACAGAAACTATTCGCGTTTTAACCTTTGCTCACTCAACTTTTTCCGGTGACACTTTACCCCTTGAACTTCAAATATTCTTGTACTTAACGACTTCCAGCCACTGGAGATGAAAAATCAAGGGCAAAGTGTAAAAACGCGAATAGTTCGGTAGACAAAGTGTACTTGTGAAGACTAATTTGAGGTATCTCCTAAGGTGTAAACGACAAGTTTGCCCTTGATTTTGCATCTCCGGTGGCTGGAAGTCGTTAAGTGCAAGAATATATCAAGTTCAAGGGGTAAAGTGTCACCGTGGGAAAAGTGTAAAAACGCGGATAGTTCGATAAGCAAAGTGTAATTTTCCCTATCTATTATTATATATATATATATATTAAAAGGTCGAAATTGCTACAAAACATTATATTTCAAGCAGTTCATAATGAACATTGCTATTATGATATATTTTACCATTTTGTCAGGGGAATATGTGTGAAAGCTAATCTACAGTGTTGGATGTTATTATTTGTCTCAAAATTGGTGTTTCCATTTTCTGTCAGAGTTTAGTACGCATGAGAGTGTGGAGTGTAGTAAGTAAACCAAAAACAGGAAATAGAATAATAAGATACAAGCTAATTTGTAGTATGATGACTTTTACTGTTACGAAATCTAACAGAGGGACAGTAGTTATTCGCTTTCTGACAAGTCCTTCATGGCAATTAATGCGCATAGTCATGATAATATAAGATTTAGGGCATACACATATGATATATTTAAAGAAAAGGAAATTATTTGGTTTGGGAAAATTTCATTAATCCATGCAGTAAACACATCGATTTTCAAACACATGTATGACATTTGTTGCGAGTTGTATATTTTATTCAATTACTTTTGTATGGGCGCAATGGCTTGCTATCATTGCAAGTGAACATGTGTACCTAACGGGTCAATTAGGTGATTTGCAAGGAAATTAAGAACTAACTTGATT